CAGGAACAAACCATGCCATGATGTCCAGATTGGAATCATAAAATTGTATAGTTGGAGGGGTCCCAAGGCTCATCCAGTCCAACCGTGTGCATTGCAGAAATATTATACACACACACACACAAATATATATATATATAAAATTTCAGGATGCTGTTTGACTCCACTCCAGCTCCACCAAGCCCCCACCATGTGCAAACACACATTCCTCTATTTAAAAAGATAGACTTTTTTAAGAAAGAAAGAAAGAAAGAAAGAAAGGAAGAAAGAAAGGAAGGAAGAAAGAAAGAAAGAAAAGACTTTTCTTAAAAAGAAAAGTCGAGTGATGCTGAAATCCCCTGCCTTCTCTCAAAAGGCTGTTTCTCAGAATGCTACGCCTGCCTCGGCTGGGGGCGCTGATCCGGCCCGCCCCACCTCTAGGCGAAAATAAAGACTTCCTGAGCATTAACAACCCGGGCTCAAAACGGGTGAAAATTGGGCATTGGTTCCCGATGCCCAGCGAAACCTTCTCTGTGAGGGGAGGACTTGCCAGGCTGCGGGTGTGTTTTGCCCCCTGGAGGCAGAGGCGGCGCCCAGCAACAAGCCAGGATTGTTCGTGGGACGCCCAGAAGTGACCACACCATCCGAGGCAGAGGCTGAAAGAGCAGGAGACTCCATCTCAGAGTTGTTGGGTTCAAGCTCCAAGCTGAGCAAAAGATTCCTGCCTTTCAGGGGGTTGGCCTCTATAGATGACCCTCGTGGTCCCTTCCAACATTGGCCTGATCCTGCAGCCTGGCTCTTCATTTGCTCCTATGTTATTAAATCGGGCTGTCCAGATACGGTTTACCCAGTAGTGATGTATGGAAGTGAGAGCTGGACCATCAAGAAGGCTGATGGCCAAAGAATGGATGCTTTTGAATTCTGGTGCTGGAGGAGACTCTTGAGAGTCCCATGGACTGCAAGAAGATCCAACCTCTCCATTCTGTTTTTGTTTTTTTTTAATGATATTTATTAAAGTTTCAATAAAAGATTAAACATAAAACATAAAAAAGAAATACACAATTCAGAAATACACAATACATAATTCAAAAGGAAAAAAAGAAACAAGAAAAACAAAAGACAAAAAAGAAAATAGAACAATTAAAAACAATATCACCTTTTCATTTCCATCTTTAAATTTACTTATTTTCTGGACTTCCTCATACCTCCCTCTTTTGTATTCCAATTCAAATTGTTTACTCAGCAATTTCATACCCTCTTTTTTAATCCCAATCTTTAATCTTAATATAATATAACATTAAAATTTTGCCTCTTAAAAGCCAAAGTTCTTGTGTCTTCCAATACTTTGCGATGAGTATTCTTGCTGCTGTTGTTGTGTACATAAAGAAAGTTCTATCCTTTTTTATCACCATTTGGCCGACCATGCCCAGGAGGAAGGCCTCTGGTTTCTTAGGGAAGGTATATTTGAATACCTTTTTTAATTCATTATATATCATTTCCCAGAAAGCCTTAATCTTTGGGCACGTCCACCAAAGGTGAAAAAATGTATCTTCAGTTTCTTTACATTTCCAACATTTATTATTGGGCAAATGATAGATTTTTGCAAGCTTGACTGGGGTTATGTACCACCTGTATATCATTTTCATAATATTCTCTCTTACGGCATTACATGCCGTAAATTTCATACCTGTGGTCCACAACTGTTCCCAGTCAACAAACATGATGTTATGTCCAACGTCTTGTGCCCATTTAATCATAGCCGATTTTACCGTTTCGTCCTGAGTGTTCCATTTCAGCAGCAAGTTATACATTCTTGACAAATTCTTAGTTTTGGGTTCTAACAGTTCAGTTTCTAATTTTGATTTTTCCACCTGGAAGCCAATTTTCTTGTCCAATTTAAATGCCTCCATTATCTGAAAATAATGAAGCCAGTCTCGCACTTTGTTTTTTAATTTTTCAAAACTCTGCAATTTCAGTCTATCTCCATCTTGTTCCAAAATTTCCCCACATTTCGGCCATTTGACCTCCATATTGAGCTTTTCAAGGCTTTCGCTTCCATTGGTGACAGCCACCTTGGGGTTTTATTTTCTAACAAATCCTTATATCTTATCCAAACATTAAACAGCGCTTTCCTGACAATGTGGTTTTTAAATGCTTTATGTGCTTTGACCTCTCCATTCTGAAGCAAATCAGCCCTGAGTGCTCACTGGAAGGACAGATCGTGAAGCTGAGGCTCCAATACTTTGGCCACCTCATGAGAAGAGAAGACTCCCTGGAAAAGACCCTGATGTTTGGCAAGATGGAGGGCACAAGGAGAAGGGACAGAGGACGAGATGGTGGGACAGTGTTCTTGAAGCTACCAGCATGAGTTTGACCAAACTGCGGGAGGCAGTGGAAGACAGGAGGGCCTGGCGTGCTCTGGTCCAGGGGGTCACGAAGAGGCGGACATGACTAAAGGACTAAAGAACAACACAGACAGGGAGGCGGAGGCGGCGTCGAGAGAAAAGAGGGGGCAAGTGGCACGTGGTGCACATGGTTTGCAAGATACGTGTCTTTCAAAACGTGTTTGCGGGCGGAGGGTGATTGCATTATTTTCGTTTCGTTACGCATGTTGTGCTCTCATTTTTTTGTTTAGATATTGCGCACTGCCCTGCGATCTTTTGATGAAGGACACCACGCGAATATAAAAGGTAGACAAGATAGAGAAACCTATAGCTGAACCTCCCAGAGGCGCAAGGAGTACCCGCAATAAAAGACTATATTATTTCAATAAAAATTTCGAAACTAGAGCAATGCCGAAAACACTTCTTGTTGCCGCAATGTGGCCAAGGATGTTAATACCGAGCTTTATGGGGAAAGGGAAATTTTCGCTGACGGGGGAAGCTCTCCGTTCCCTTTTCTGTCCTAAGGTAACACCTAATAATAATAATAATAATTTATTATTATTTATATCCCACCTATCTGGCTGGATTTTCCAAGGTAACCCAACACCCGCACCCACCCGCTGCTGGCTCCCTGCCCAGTGGAAAAGCTGGCTGTTCATTAAACCAGAACTCTGCCCCGGAATAGCAGAGCTGGAACACTTTGGCAACTCCCTTTCTTTGCAGGCGACGGAGCGGAGCGTCTGGCCGGAGCGCCCCGGGGAAGAGTAGCTGCAGGGAACGGCTGCCGGGCGGCAGAACTTGCTCTGTCTCTGGGAGACGCGCGGGGCCCCATGGAGCTGCTGGCCCTCTGTTGGCACCCTCTCTGGGTGCCTTGCACCCTGGTCCTGTCCGTGGTGCTCTGGGCAAGGAGGGCAGCGTGGAGACCCGCGGCTTGTCCTGTGGACCTGCGTGGCAAAACCGCCGTGGTCACTGGAGCCAACAGTGGTGAGTCCGCAGGATGTGCTGGGCCTGAGGGGCCAGGGGGCTTAAGCCTTGACCCCTCCCCAGACCCAGACCCCCAACCCGGTAGATTTTACCTGCTTATCGGGGCTGCGCAAAGGGATTAAGGTCCCATCGAGCGCTTCGGAAAACAGAATCCTAGAATAGTAGAATTGCAGAATTGGAAGGAACTGCCAAGAATCATTTATTCCAACCTCCTGCAAGACAGGAATCTCAGCACAAGATTCTAGAGGGTCATTAATCATAGAACTGGAAGGGACCCCCGAATTTCATATAGTCCAAGCGCCCGCAATGTGGAAATCTCGACACACAGGTGTTGCGTGTTTCGGATGTTTCTTAGTGGTTCTGAACTTGTGGGTTATGTCTGCGTGGACATGCATTTTCCTTGGCACTTAAAGTACGCGCACCCTAATACAGTATTATTATAACACCGTGCATGTGGGACTTCAGGATTAACTGAAGCAGAGGCTGGAGGGACACCTGTCGGGTATGATCTAGCTGCGGTTCTTCCATTGGGCACTGTGCAATTGTGTGTGTGCGAAAGAGAGAGGGAATGTTGCAGCAGGACAAATCCAACGATGGTTGAACTATGTACGTAACTCGCTATCGCAGCAGGAGGCAGCCCTGACGCCCAGCCTAGAAGGCTTTAAAATGCCCGGCGGACCCAGGGAGGAGGGGAAGGTGGGAAGTCCAGAGATTGGGAGGAATCTGTAAAGATGGATGTTCGTATTGTTATAATGTTATACTTGTAACGCAAGTAAAACCAAATTAAAATTATTTCAAACAAACAAAATTAAATAAATGAATAAGTTTAAATAAATAGATAGATATGTAGAAAATGCAATAATAAAATAGAATAAAATGCCTGGAGGAGGAAGAGAAGGCTATCGAGGGCTGCTGAAGGGAGCAGAGCTTCTGAGTACAGTACTGGTTGTTGGAGACCCCAGGAGGGGAAGGGGCTCTGCCGCTCCAATCCTGTTTACAGGTTTCCCATAATATGGCACCTGGCTGGCCAGGGTGAGAACTGGACGCAGCACTGGGTGGGTTCCTTTGGCCGGATCCAGCAGCGTCTTCTGATTTAGCCCTGCGTGGATTGCTGCGTGGGCCCTCCTTCCTCCTGCCCCCCTGAAACAATGGGTCTGGGGTGTGTGTGGCAAGAGCTGGCCTGCGGCTGATGCCTTCGGACTCCATAGCACTGCGGAGTTAAAAGGGACTCCGAGGGTCCTCTGTCTAGTCCAGCCCCCGCAGTGCCAGAATCCTGCCCACAGCCGTCCCTGGATGGGCTCAGACCAAAGACCTTCTGGCTGACAGCCAGACCCACCGACCCCTGGGGGCTTTCCCAGGGAACCCCCACTCCCCTGGGGCAGGTGAGCAGGATCTGCGCAAAATGACGAGTCTGGTTGCTCCTGCTGCCGCCAGCTGGGTCGGGTTGGGTTCCAGAGCAATAGGGAAGCGGGTCAGGGCCAGGGGGAGAGCCACCCCCGCCAAGACCCCCACCAAGACCCACGAAGAGGGGTTCTGGTCCTTGACTCGCCCCCCCCCCGGGCTCTGCTGCAGGGATTGGCAAGTGCGTGGCTCTGGAGCTGGCGCGCAGGAATGCCCGGACCATCCTGGCCTGCCGCAGCCGAGAGAGAGGGGCGGCAGCCGTGGAGGAGATCCGCAGGGCCACGGGGAACCCCGACGTCCACCTGCGCATCCTGGACACCAGCTCCATGGCGTCGGTGAGGAACTTCGCCCGGCAGTTCCTGGAGGAAGAGGGGCAGCTGCACATCCTGGTCAACAACGCCGGGACCACAGGTAAGTGGCAGGGCTGGGCGGGCGGTGGAAGGAGCCCCCAGGCGCTGGAGAAGGAGGAGGGGCTGGGTCGGAGCCCGGCCTCGCCTGCGGACCCTCTCCAGGGGCCTCTAGGAAGCCACAGAGCCTCTGCTCCTGGGGGCTAGGACTGCAGGACTGTGCTGCCTGCACCAAAGTGTGATTGGCCCCGATTCTGGAAACCCGGGAGGCACCCACAGCGCAGCAGGGCGCCCCAGCCCCTAAGCAAAGGCACCTCTTGGGATCTCCTATTATATATATATTACATGGTAGTTACCGTACAATTTCAGCACTATACATGACATATATTATATTATTGTATATACGGATTCCCCACATCTAACCCTATACCCAACTCATCATTTACCCAAATCCCAATGTGACTTCCTTCACCCACATGCATGATATCCTTCTGGCTACCTTAAAACTCTAACATTGTGTTCATAATTCTTCATCACGTTTAGCAATCCTCTATCTTAAAATCATTGCATCTTAGCTTAATGAACTCAATCAGTACTTATCCAGAAATTTCTCTTGAAGTAATTTTGTGCAATATATTCTTCAACCCATTTCCATTCCTTTCTTAATTTTTGTTTTGATTGCATTCTATTCGACGCTGTCATCTTGGCTAGTTCAATATATTCACAAAATTTAATTTGCCACTCTGACATTGAGGGAGTCTCCTGCTGGGATTTTCTTCCAGCCTGAGGCTCCTCCTCTTCTTAGGGCTGGTCCACCAAGGCAAGTGTGGACAAGCAGCCCTCTGGTACAAGCACGGGAGGTCCCCTGCGCACCTCACCTGTCATCCTCCGCGGAGCATCCCTCGGCAGCGGCCGCTCTTGCAAACGGCACAAAACAACAGCGAAGCGTCTTGCTGCGCCTGAAAGACAAGAGGGTGGATTTTCTGGAGCACCAAAGCTGGCTTCTGCGGAGATCCATTCTCTGCTCTTTCAGGTGCTGCCCAAAAGACTCCTGCGGTGACCCCTGTAAAAGCATCGCGAAGAGGTTCGCTGGGCTCCCGGGCCCCTGCCTGGCTTGATCCAGCAGCAGCAAAACTCTCCTGGTGTTGCTGTTTCCTTTCCTGTCTCACCGCCTTCTCTGAGGAGCTCCAGGCAGCGTCCCTCGTTCTCCAGTGCCGGATTTACGCATAAGCTAAACAAGCTCTAGCTTAGGGCCCCAGTCTCTTGAGGACCCCCCAAAAATTAAAGGAAATAACACTTGGATGTACATTTCCAAAATATAAGATAAAAAACAAATAAAAGAAAACCTACAGACAGCAACAGTTGTTTTGTTTTGTGTTGTGTATGGACCAATTAGGTCCATAAATTACCATATATCAGGGGTAGGCAACCTAAGGCCCGTGGGCCGGATCCGGACCAATCACCTTCTCAATCCAGCACGTGTAGACACAAAGTCAGAAAAGCTAAAGCACAGAATGAACTCAGGCTTGCTAGAGAGGTTAAAAGCAACAAAAAAGGCTTTTATGGGTATGTTCGTAGCAAAAGGAAGAACAAAGAAACAGTGGGGTCACTCAGAGGAGAAGATGGTGAAATGCAAACAGGGGACACAGAAAGGGCTGAACTCCTCAATGCCTTCTTTGCCTCAGTCTTCTCCGATAAAGAAAACAATGCCCGACCTGAAGAATTTGGAGCAAATGATTCAGCAGAGGAAACACAGCCCAGAATAACTAAGGAGATAGTACAAGAATACTTGGCTAGTTTAGATGTATTCAAGTCTCCAGGGCCAGATGAACTGCATCCAAGAGTATTAAAAGAACTGGCAGATGTGATCTCAGAACCACTGGCAGTCATCTTTGAGAATTCCTGGAGAACAGGCGAAGTCCCGGCAGACTGGAGGAGGGCAAATGTTGTCCCTATTTTCAAAAAGGGGAAAAGAGAGGACCCAAATAATTACCGCCCAGTCAGTCTGACATCAATACCAGGGAAGATTCTGGAGCAGATCATTAAGCAAACAGTCTGTGAGCACCTAGAAAGGAATGCTGTGATCACCAATAGTCAGCATGGATTTCTGAAAAATAAGTCATGTCAGACTAACCTGATCTCGTTTTTTGACAGAATTACAAGCCTGGTAGATGAAGGGAATGCAGTGGATGTAGCCTACCTTGATTTCAGCAAGGCATTTGACAAGATGCCCCATGATATTCTTGTAAAGAAGCTGGTAAAATGCGGTCTTGACTATGCTACCACGCAGTGGATTTGTA